GGGGGGGGGGGGGGGGGGGGGGGGGGGGGAGGGGGGAGGAAATAACAATAGGCATGATGGTGACTCCGCCCATGTTTCCTCGCGAATCACGTGACGTGACTGTTGCGAGTTCGTGTTTGCGAAGAGGTGGTAAATAATATAGGAGAGAAGTGCTCGCGAAATAACAGGGAAAGGTGTGATACGTCCATGATTTTCCTCTCCTCTCATTGTGTACGTACGGCGAGCGGCCTCTCGTCTGTTTGACAGGCGGAAATTTACGCGCTTCCGTGAGGCCTGTTGTTGTTTTTTGGTCCGGCCGAAATCTCTCTTCCACGGGACGAATTTATCGAGAGAAACTGAAACTGGAAGCACGGTCACCTTTCCACGACCTCTTACGGACGAATTCGGTACTTCCGGAAAAAATATATATATTCACAGGAAAATAAAATAAATATGTTTATATAGATATAAGCAGAAAATAGCGGTGAGATTGCCTAAATTGGATGAGATCCATCCGCTGGTCCATGAAGGGATTTTCCCCCCGTTTTTCCTTGGCACCAGCCCTATCTGGCGGAGAGATCTGCGATATCTGGGATGCGCGAACGAGCCGACATTCATTCGTCCGTCTCCACTTTCCCATGAAATTGATCACTCGATCCTCCCCCCCCCCCCCCCCCCCCCCCCCCCCCCNNNCCCCCGCCCCCCCCCCCCCCCCCCCCCCCCCCTCCCCTCCCCCCCCCCCCCCCTTTCCGGTTCGCTTCGGGGTGCCGGAGTGCCGGTAGGTGGGCGGCGCGAGGATCGGGAAGATGAGCACGGATGAAGCACGGATGAAGCACGGATGAAGCACGGATGAAGCACGGATGAACGTCGATCGCGACCTTCGAAGTTCGTTTGAGTCACCCAGAGTCACCGGATCTGCAAAACGCCTGCCGCTTTTTTTTCCAGTTGCAGAAATAGCAACAGTTGCATTTGCCATGCATAGCACGAAAGTGAATTTTGAGTTCGCGTCTGGTTGAAAAAAAAAGAGAGAAAAAAAAAAGGATAGGATCGCTGACGCGATTCTTTTTCATCATCCAAATGTACTCCTGTTTGCACATAGAATAGCCTCGTGCCGCTTGTCCTTGGGGAAACTTCGTGACGCGAGACGATGAAATTTGACTCTTCCGCGTTGTTTCCGTCCATCGTTCGTCTTGGGAGCGAAGAAACGCGGATTCCTCAGGATCGCAAGATTCCTCGGGGTAAAGGTACGCGATCGCGATGTCCGAACGGTCGAATCGAATGCCGTTCGTCGTATTTGACCCGCAACGCCGTAATCCACTTGCCAAAAATTCAGCAAGTTTGCCGGCAACGCCGTCTCAAAAATCACTTTTCCAGTCTCGTGACTGCGAAGTTCCAGGTTCTCTTCCGATTAATTCCGCAACGGATTCCCCGATTCATCTCGATGAAGGATGTTGGAAGCGTAACCTGGAAATGCAGCCTGGATGCATAGCCCGGATGTGTAGCCTGGATGTGTAGCCCGAGGAGATGCACGAACTCCCGTCGAGTCCTCGATGAGATCCAGGAACCCACGATGACGATGATGATCCTCCTCTGACTCACAATCGCGACCTCCGGGTGAAACGCGAACGCGCGTATGCAGGACGGCTCAGCCTTCCTTCGAGTCGGTCCCACTTCCGCCCCGAAGGAAGAACGAGCCTCCGTTTTTCTCAGTTTGTTGTGAGTCACGATGCCGCACACGTGCGCTGGCTCCACGGTTCTCGACGTTTTCGTGCCATCAAAACGGGCAGGGGATTCGGAACAGGGAATCCGGAACAGGGGATTCGGAACAGGGAATCCGGAACGCGGATCGGTGTCGCCTGCATGGAAAAGCAGACGGGAAAAGGGTTGAGGAGGTTAGCAAAGAGCTAACCGCATGCTCAACGATGGCCATGAGAAATAGGCAGTTGTAAAAGACGAAGGTCGCATAATTGCACTAAATTGTATGCATGACTCGTATCAATATTCATGAAGTGTCAACCTGAGCTACTCTTTCTCTCTCAGGCATTCCCCCTTTTTTTCTTCTTTTCTGGGAGCTAAGCCCCCGTCAATCCATAGAGTCGAGCTGGAAGCACTTGCTCACGTTCCCATCTCCATCGAGGATTACAATCTCTCTCTCTCTCTCTCGCTCTCTCGCCCTTACTTCAGGACATTATCAGTGGGAGTGATTCACCGGAAATGCATGCATCCACCGGAAATGCATGCATCCACCCTTGCCGAGGATGATCTCAGGGGAAGAAGAGAGAGAGAGAGAGAGAGCCCGAAGGAGCAGAAGGGAGTCAGCTGGTGTCTGCGCTCGGGGCGACACAAACAGAGTGCCGGTCCTGATATCCGAGCCGGTAGCTAAGAGTTTTACGACGTGCTAAATACCGACTCCGTTTGACCTAATAGTCGCGCCTGTCACTGACCCATGAAAACGAAGCAGAGTAAATTGGGCTCCCCGCTGGGAGAGAGCATCATATCCCGTTTGTTTTCATTGTCGCATCGTGCGTCCCTCCCGACGGAATAAAATAGCGATCCGGCGATTTTTCGCCCCCCCATCACAAAAGATTCCCCCGCTCCGAAATTCAAAATTTTAATGAAGATATTCCCAGCACGATGACAGCTCGACGGCGATTCATGAATATGAAAATATGGGGAAATGTGAGGAAAACGGGAAAGCAAACATCTGCCGGGTGAATTATTGACATCGCCTTTGCAGCTAATGAGGGGTTCCGTTCTCTCTCTCTCTCTCTCTCTCTCTCTCTCTCGCCTGGGAGAGCCGTTGAACAAACTTTTTTTTTTCTTTGCAAGCAGGAGATAATCCGGATGCTAGACGATGAGGTAATCCTCGATAGAAATCGGAGCTCAAAATAATGGGATGGCTCTGTCGGCACGACAGAGCCAAAGAGAACCTGTCATAACACAAGCGCACCTCGTGCTTTTGGAAAAACTCTTCACGTCTAATCCCCGGAGCCGGACAAAAGGGGGAGCAGGAGGCCGAAAAAAAAAAGACGGGATTAGACGGGAGCCTACCTGCAGTAACAACAGGAAATTCTCCCTTTAATGATGACATAATGCCGTTTCGGGGGGCTGGCAGGCCGTGGGGGCTTTCCGTGCTCAGAAATACGGGTCATTCATCATGCAATTGCCATGGGTTCGTTTCGTTTCCTGTAATATTATAATTATTCCTCGTTATGCAGATGACTGCGATGAAGATGATCCCGCCGAGAGGGGCGGACGGGAATATCGCGGCTTATATATATTTACAGCTGACTCCGCTCCCGAGCCCCCTTCGATTCGAAATAAAAATGACACTCGAAAAAGTGTCTCTCTTTCTCCCTCGTACCCCTGTCTTTCATATCGAGAGAAAAGGGGCGTGAAAATCCCCCGGCGATTCAATGGCACAAGCGCGATAAACAGAGACTGTGAAAAGGCAAACCCCCGCTGCGTCCCATTGGCTCCTGTTTCCAATCCGAGAGCTATATGTCATCGAGGCAACAAGTGTGACGAGAGGAAAAAAACGTCCAAAGGTTGACCCATCACAACACAGCAGGACATCCGCTGACTTATGATCCAGTCGATTCTGCTGCATCGTTGCTTGTGAAAAACATTCCCGGGTCTGTCGAGAGGCTCGACGGTCCCCTTCTCGACGGTCCCCTTCTCGGGGCGGGGAGGGGACATCTGCCGAGGAGGCTCTCCCGCGTCCTCGAAGGCGACTCTAAAAGCCCGGTCGGAACGGCCAAGCGACTTTCTAAATGGTTTTATTGGGTCTTGTAAAACAGTCGCATCACTTCTCCTTTACAACGGCCCAGGATTAGCTGTAATTGCTCAAGGAAAGAAAGCGGTGCTTTTCCCATGCCCCTAGGGCCAGTAGGCGCTACCATTTCCCCTTCGAGGATGGGAGGAAGACCCGGCAGGCTTGGATTGATGGCTTGTATACGCTCTCCAAGGCCTCAATTGCACACGTAATTGAACTTCAAAGCGGATAGGCTCCATGTGACCACCCAGCCCAAGACCGATTGACGTCCAACGTTCCTCTCTTTTTTTTTGTTGCCGCTATTCCTTTTTCTTTCTTCGCTTTGAAAGCTCGATTCGGTAATCAGCATGATTAAAAAGCCCTCGTCGTCGACAGATGCTTTCACCGAGTCAGAGAGGTCAAGCTTTCCATGGATCGATCGATATCAACATGCTTATTCGTGATTCCATTTGACGGATTGAAGGGGCGATGGGAGGGGGGGGGGGGGACGGGGGGAGGGGGGAGGGAGTTCTTTTCACTGGAATATATCACGTGCAATGAGCGAAAGAGAGAGGGCGGATGACGTGATGAGTAGCCCGATTACACGCATACTTAGTCGCTAGCCGGCCTCCTTCGTTCCTCCGGGCCTTTGTTGTCTCGTAAAAGGCGTGGAATGAGATGAGCATTCATGGCCTCCTCCCGTCCGTTCGTGACAGATGCTCATTACGGGGAAGGTGAAGCGCCCGGGACGGCTCAATCGTCGGGGCGGCGAGGGGCCCTGCAGATGCACGGACGACATCGTCATCTTCGCCTCATGGATCAATGTGTCGTCCCCCCCCCCCTTTCTCTAACCCCCCCCGGTCTCTCGATCGTTCGATGTTGCTATAAAAACCGATCGACGGTGATTTTCGAGGCTCAGGCCCCCTGCGTTCAGTCTGTTCCCAGGTTTACAATCCGGGAAAATCACAGCTGCCGACTCTGAAAGCACGCTGTACACAACTTTCAGTTTCCCAGAGTAGTTGGACGTTCGTTCAAAATATTCAAAAAACGGAAGATGATATAACGACGATGGAATGTACCTAACCTTTACTTATTGATGGTAAAAGGAAGAATGGACGAGCGACCCTTTTCTCTTCAATAAATTTCGTTCACTTATCGCGATTTTTGAGCGAAGAAAAACGTGCTATTTTCATTACGTATAATCGGAGTCGCGTGTGCAAAAAAAAAAAAACTATTTTCATTCAAGGCAATTTGCAACTCGGAATTCCTACGGAGCATTGCTGTCGCCAGTAACTCGAAAGTTCTTCGGGACTCGTTAAATTTATGATCCGCATCCGAAGCAAACACCGAGATTGAACACCGATTGTTCAAAGATGAGCCTATTTCGTGACCGCGATGGCTCACTCCGACGCTCGAGAAGAAAAATCGCTTTTGAAGATTGAAACGGATCGCGAGAGCCATGTTTTACGGCCGAGAGCGACCCAGAAAGAGTGCGGTAGAACGTTCAGCAATTCAGTTCAGCGGTTTTCCAGTGGTACAGCTAATTTTTCTTGCTCAGACGTCGACGTGGTTTCCCAGGGATTTCAAATAAATATAAAAAAGTGAGCATTTTTCTTGGTTTTCGGAGGGCATTCTTCGGTTAACTCAATAGCTCCAATTGTTCTTACATTGAATGGAACATAATTAGAATTTTCTTAATCTGCATGCATTGAGATCGCCGCCAGAATTAACGGGACAATCACCTTCAGGGGAACAGATCCGAGATGTCGAGTCCATTAACATCAAAAATGCCCTTGTAGAAAAATGGAACAGCCGAACTTCTCTCTCCTGTTGGTGCTCTTGTGAATAAGACAAAAAAAACCCACTGGCTATGTTGTAAAATTGCAGAAGCAACATAGAAATGAAGCTGGGCACGTCCAGTTCACGTCCAGTTCCGAGACTTATTTATTCATATAAGAAAACCAGCATCGAGGAGGGACGGTTCTACCTGTTTCATGGTATTCCTCATGGAATTACATCGTTCTAGTATTAAGTTCCTCAGAATAAATGTTACGAGATGCTTAGTTAGCATCTGGCCTCCCACCGGCAGAATAGCGATCGACTCTTGAATCACGCCAGATGGGCATTCTTTCTCTGAAGGCAGTCGATCTCAACCGAACGTTGGGAATGAGCCGTCGAGGCAATGATGCAAATTTCGTGGTGCAAATCGGCCGGCTTCGTGCCGTTCGCTCTCGTCAAGCTCCTTTCGAATCGTTCGCATTTTGCGGCTTGCAGAGGCTGACTGGAATCGCGAAAGAAGAAGAAAGTTAGAAGTTAGAAAGCAGTTCACGCTCTCGGCGGCAGCGACTAGCATTGCGAACGAGCCCCAGTCTGAAGGCGGGTTTACACATGCGAGAATATTTGCATGTACTTCACTCGTGGGAACGTGCCAGTGCTTATTGCACTCGCGTGAAAATAGAATTGAATCCTATCTCGTCACTGATTTCATGCTTGCATATGTAACTGAACGACCGACCGACCTGGTCAAGCTGGTCGTTCCTTCAGATAAATCCGTAACGCGTTTGATCTGTGGGAAAGCGAGCACGCCCAGCCAAGGCATTACGCAAGGTGAAGCTTTTTTTTTTTCTCCAAGTTCCTCCACCATAATAATTACGGGCGGAAGCGATACAGATGGCCTGAAGTCGCAAGCATCCAGATGAAGGGGAGGGGGCAAGTCTGGATATTACAAGCTGTGCATAGCCCTGATCCATTATCCCACTCGGGGGAAACTAAGCAAAGGAGAATATTTGAAAAGGGAGGAATCCGGACAAAAAAAAGGAGCAAGTACAGTATAAGTAAAAAGGGGAGGGGGGAATGCCATACGGAAGGACCGCCCTCCACCGCCCCGCCCTCTTCCACTTCCCCCCAGAAGCCCCCCACTCTTGCTCTCCTTCCTCGCATCACACTTCATACAGGTGTGATCACGTCAAGGTGGTCGGATTCTCCTCCTGCTCTTCTCTTTTTTTTTTTCCTGTCTCGCTACGTGTGATTTATGAGGCTTTTGTGATTGTGAGTGCGTGCGTGTGTGTCTGTGATCCATACAGCACATCTAGAAGGGGCCGGAAATATGGTCATGAGTAGAATGCTCCCGCTGGAGTGTATGGGACCCATAGACCAGAGCAAACCTCCTCGGTTCTTCTTTCATATGCCTCGTGTAGTCCCCAATCAGAAGAACCGTTTCGAGTCCGACGATTTGTTCAAGAAACTCAGCAGGGAGTCCGAAGTAAGAGCTTGCCCTAACGTCCCTGTCAGGCAAATCCACTGACAAAACTAGATGATGCGTAGGATTCCTAGAATACCAGGAGTAGGAACAAGTAATGCTAATAGCTCACATACTGCATTCTATATATATATATTTTTTTAAATTTATATATATATTTACTTAGACAAATACTCTAAGGTCTATTGTCAACTTAAATCTGTCAGGCAATTGATGGTGCTCCAACACCCTCCCTTTCATCGACGGCACAATAATGAATGGTCCTACCCGTAATAAAGAGAGTTCCTCATCGGAATTTCTAGCTTCATCTGGCTGATGAGTGTCATCTGTAAACATCTCTTATCTGCTTATTACTATCTAGAGTAAATGGCATCTCCGGGCAGAAGTGGGATCTCCAGTGTTAAAAGATGATAAAAGACGCGTTATACCAGCTCTCGAGAGGCAACCTAGTATCATAATCTCGACACAATTGGTGTGGCTTTTCACCCATGACAAATGTTTGCTCTTTCCCCAGGTGAGATACACCGGTTATCACGATCGCCCTATCGAGGAGAGACGAGCTCGATTCCAAGCCGGTTGCCGGGACGGCCATGCAGAAATCGTCAGTGAAATTTCCTCTCCTCCCCCCCCCCCCCGAAAGGTCGTTCGTTCGAGTCGTGTTCGAAAATGTTTGTATTCGATTTGCTCGCAGGCATTCCTGGGGACGGGGATCAACCTGCAGTTGTTCTTCGGTCCGCTGTCGAACGGGTACACGGGGACCGATCCCACGCACCCACCCCCGGATTTCGAGAGCCAGCCCGGCAAGGTGAAACCATCGAATCCAAATTCATGCGTTTCCGGAATCGCGACCGTTGACGACGACCGGAACTGGAAAGCGCGATAAGCGATTATAAAAAAAAAGCTAATGGACTTCCCAGACTGCTTGTAGCCATAGATCGAATTTTCGTAGCGAAGAGGCAACTGGTCTTTAAAGTACTGATTTTCTCCAAACTGCGCTAAAATCCGAGCCTAACTGGATGTTTTCCCCTTTTTATGTGAAAAGAAGACAAAGACAAACTACTTGGCATTGCTCTTGGATTCCACTTAGGAAAACTGTCTCTAGTCTTCTCACACTTTCTATTACAACTGCGCGGGGAAGTAACCATAGCGCAAAGAAAATATGCGCTAGGAAGTGCAATAGTGCATGGCTCCCGTGTTTTAACCGGCTTCCGCGGTTATGCAATAGCATTTTGCACTCCCCAATGTGGACGGCCTTACCCACAAATGCTTAAAGGTTCCTAAGATAAAGATGTCGGACGTCTAGAAGGGGAAGGGTCGGCATGGGTCGACGACGACAACGATCGACAAGCAAGGCTTCGGTATAAAGTTACATCTTAGGAACTCTTTGGCATGCGGAAGAAACCGTGTGCGTCCGAATGAGAACAATGAGAGCAAGTTGAGTTTCGGTAGAAAGGGCGCAGTTCATTAAGGTATATTTTCTCCAAATTTAAAGGGAATATGTCAGCAATTAGCTCCAATCAACGAGCATTGTCGTGTAGACGACATTTTTAGACCCAATAGAAAAAAATCGGGCGGAAATGAATCAGCCGCAGCCTTAATCTATCCAGGAAGAAAGGCAATACTCATCTCGCTATCTCGAGTGCCGTGGCAGTGAGTGGGCGAGAGATTTGCCTTCAGCCTCCGATTCAACCTGGGGTTCTGGGGTACAAACCGAACAAGAGTCGGAAACCTCTAATTTTCCGCGCTAAAAAGGAGAAAATGCTTTCGAACTTGTTATAAATGTAACAAAAGAGCGTCAGGCGTAATTTTCAGGGATTTCTGCCTTCCTCAGTCGAGTTCGCTAAAAACGCGCAGATATGTTGCGATAAGTTGCTTGAGCCGCATTTAAAAGGCGAACGAGACGGAATTGATAGGCGTGGGAGTTCCTGGAGAAAAAAAATTGACTCATGTTTCCGCAAAGGCTTCCGCACTGACGATATCTCGGACGATCTTCCCCGGTAGTCCAAGACATCCGACGTCCGCCCGCAGTCCTCACATCCGGAGGACGTACTGCTGACGGACGTCGGATGTCCTGTGCTACCGGGGTTGTGCTTCGGAGCCAGGATATCAGAAAAAAAAACCAAGAGAGAGAGAAAAACAAAAGTATTCTTCTGTCCTGCCCTTCCAGGTGCATTTGATCTCGCACTTCATCTTGAATGGAGTCTGTGTCCGATGGAGAGGAGTGGTCGACCTGGATCGTCTGGACGGGACGGGGTGCTTGGAGTTCGACGAGCCCACCGCTCAGCTAGAGGAAGCCTTACTCAAGGAAGAGATCCAGCAATACAACCAAAGAATGCAGAGCTTCGAAGAGAGATTCCATCCGGGCCTCATCGAGCAAGACAGGTAGGTTGGACGGCAACCTTCATCATCAGAGGAGAATTTCTTCCAAGAACGGGATTGGGGTGGGAAGGCGAGAGCGGAGGTCGAATACTTTTTAATGAAGTCGGTTTGAAGAAGACCCCCCCATTCGACTCCCATTCGAAGAAAGATCTTCCATTTTTCCTGTCAGGTTTGGCGAACAGAGCTGACTTCACCGACAGACATAATTCTATGGAAGTGAGACTTGTGGTGTCAAGCAAGAGTGGAATGGTGAATGGGACAGGGTCCACAACGGCCAGGGGGAGGATTGTATCTCAACTTTCACGCCCATTCCCCTCTCATCTACACCACTCTTACCTGCTCCGTACGCTTAATCGGAGATTTATGAGCACTTGTGCAATATCCATATAGTGTCCCGATGTGATTTTCCCATGTCAGATATGGAAGAATAAAAAAAAAGTGGGTGGGATTGAAGGCGATGCCGTTTCTTTCTCACTCGGTAGCAGCGTTAAGGACCGTGGAAGGATAATGAGGCTCTTCTTCCGCCGTTGGGGTGCATTCTAATTATAGGCTTTCATCATTAATTTCAGACAACCCGTTATTAAGAGGTATGATAGATTTGCGCGGAAGAAATATCTACAGGAGCCAGGTAGCTGGATTGACCTCGGCAGTGGGCTCTTCTACCACACCTGTACTCCTCGAGAATGGGACTCGGAATTAGCAGGCCGAGACCCTGCCACTTCGAGCCAAACATCAGAACGGTGCACTGGCGTAAACAAGGCAATAAAATTTCTCTCCTCGATCCTCTCGGACCCCATTATACGACAAAGATCTGCGAAGAAGTAATGGGCTGGACACGACGGAACGACTTGTTGAGCCTGTAGGGGATCGGCCCCCGTCCTGGAGAAGCCCCCCCTCGGTGGATTTTTTTTTTTTAATACCTCCCATGCTTATCCCCGACACGTGGGCTGTTTCAACCCTACGCTTTCTCTCCCTTGCCTTTTTTTTGTTGAATCGTGATTGATGGGACTAGGACGGGTTGTCATATCGACAGTTTGATAAATTTGTTCCAGCATTTTGACTGCCTGAAAGAATTGAGATGTGATCACTTGCAAAAGTGAGTATGAGAAAGCAAACAAAAAGCAGGCTCCCCCTCGGCGATACAATGGAGAAGGGGGTGATATGGGCCAGTCATCCTGACTCGCTCGAGCTCGCAGCTTACTGCTTCTCAATGCCCTAATAGCCGTGAAGGGAAGGGGGACGTTGAATCGCATGAAATGGATCTGCTATTGCAGAGGAACTGCTGACGCTCCGTCGATGGTCTCGGCGCGTCTTCGGGGCTTCCGTCGTCATGGCAACCATTCCCGGATCTCTTCTCCCCTTCTCGGATTGGCAGCTCCTAAATAATATGCACCATCGCGGAGATCCTCTCCTCTGATAATCTAGGAGGGGAATCGCGTTGCAAGCCCCCCCTCTAGGAATGACGAAGAGAATGAAGAGACGGCGACTAAAATGATGAAGCTGGAGGAAATGGGGTGGGGCGGGGGGGGGGATTCCGTGGGAAAGAATGGACGTCAGATCGAACATCGCACGGACATTGTCGAACACGCGAGACAATTCAAAAGTTGTTTATCGCGCAGCCAGTCAAGTGCAAACCCTTCGGCGGGATTGATTGACAGGTGGAAGAAAAACAGCAAAAAATTCTTCTGGTGAGAAATAAAGGACTGGCCGGACGAAAGGCGAGTTAAGGCCCCAACAGGCAAGTGAGAACAGAGAATGTGCCGCCGTCGTCTCTTTCTCTCGGACTCACATAATTACGGCCTCCATCTACCATGTGGCGTAATTATTTTTTTCCTTTGCTTCCAAACACAAACCATTAGTCTTTCCCATGAGCGGTGATGTGTTTCCTGCCTTCGAAATTACGAGGCCATTTTCTCAGGAGCAGCATTTATTTACACTAGATAGCAAGCTGGCAATCTCCCAGCGTCTTCATGGTGCAGTTAACACGCCGACGTGCAAGGAGGCCTCTGGAATCCCATGAAACGGTCGATGGGGTTCCACGTCCTCCTTTCTATCTACCAGCGACACCTGATTCCGACTCGCATAGAGCCCAGCTGTAGACTGGCCCCCCCCCCCCCCCTTCGCCCCCCCTGGACGAAGCAGATTCCCCTCCTTTTTTTTTCACTGCTCCCCTCTCTCCTTTTTTTTTGTGACACGCCTTCGTTCTATTGGATCGGGGCTCTCAGCAGGCCCCGGCATTTACTGACTCTTCCTCCAAACATACAAACAATAGAGCAGGACAGTGATTCAACAATCGAGCACAATGTGAGAACATCTGCCCATTGTGTCCAGATGATGCACCGACGCGGGGACTCCCGCTTCAAATTACTGACACTTTAAAAAGACAATAATTAATGATGTCGGATCGGGGAGGGATGGGGCGGATATCGAACAAGCTCAGTCGTTAATTTGAGAATCAGGATCAGCCCTTTCATTATCAGAGGGTTCGAGTCACGGGATGGATTCAGACAATAGGCCACGCCTAGTTACGCGAATATTAGAGGGTCCTAAAAAAAAAAGTGCCGTATTTAAGAAGATTGGGTCAGAAAAAATATAAAAAATTCGACCTTCGCCAGCTGCTAATTTGCATGTCCATGCACGACCTCGGNCCTTTCCCCCCCCCCCCCCCCCCCCCCCCCCCTTCCCACTTCGTCGGTGTGGAATGCTTCGGCGAACAGCAGGGCTTCGAGAAAATAATTTTCTTCAGCCTGAATGTACGCCCTGCGTTATTCCCCTCCGAGGTCGTGCATGGACATGCAAATTAGCAGCTGGCGAAGGTCGAATTTTTTATATTTTTTCTGACCCAATCTTCTTTAATACGTGATTAGGATTCATGGCATGATAATGTTTTGTTGACTCAACTGGCAGTCAATGGAGACGATAAAGGAGGAAAAAAATGGAAGGAAAAAAATTCTTGAAAATAAGAGGAGAGATAGGGAACGGTGACACGTGCCGATCTCAGGATAAGTTTCAAATTCCCTTTCAAAGATTACGTCCGAAGTCCCTGAATTTCAAACAGACTTTTTTATTATTTTAATACCTGATTATGCATATGTGCCGTGCCTGGTCATATCCCACGCTCGGTTCTCGGCGCATTTCTGGACCTTGATGGAGCTTGTGAAGGGGCGTGTGCAAACACGAGCGCCGGAGGAACCCCGCGAACAAACAGGAGATTGGACCGACACCGACGGTGAGATAAATCTGACTCGCGTGGGCGAATTCCACACAGAGACGAATGGTAGAATTCTTCCATTGGAAAACCATTCACACTCCAACAATGGTCGATTGAATCCGATTCGAGCAGTGGGCCGTCCTGAGCAAAACTCACAAGTAACGTTCTTAACTTCATCTCAAGAGCAATCTTCTCCAGATCAGAGTTAGTGGAATGTTGCGTTGAGCCGAATGTTCAGAATTTCCATTCGGTCTCTCTTCGCTTTCGACTCATTAGTGCGAACTCACTCTAGTAAGAGTAAGATGGAAGAAACGTACCGGTTTCGTTCTCAGGTACGAGTCCCAGTGTCCCGGGATTCAATTGCCCGGGTGAGGAGTTCTTTCGGTTCTAGGATGTAAAATCGAGAAAAATGGAAGCTGAGCAAGCCCAGTCCAGAAGTGGGCCTCCTTTCAATGACGTAACTGGAGGAGGATTGTGGTCGTGCAGTTCATTTTGGGAGGTGGGAGGGAAGTACGACGAGCGCTATTGCGAGAAGTGGCATTTCACGATTTCGGTTAGGAGGTCTTTTTTCTTAGCTGCCTGGCACAGCCACGCCCCCCCCCCCTCCCTCCCTCTCTCCTCACTCTTCAGTCAACGATTGATCTGTCGGATATGAAGGCTGGAAGAGAACTGACAGCTCTGTTCGATGACATAACATCCACCCAGGTTGAGCGCTATGCATGGGCATTGAGATCGAGACGCAAAAAGGATGACGATGAGTTCCTGATGCCTTGGCGGCTATTAGAAAATTGCACGAGTCAAAATTCCTGGGGGAAAAAATTTCGGCACAACGTTTGCGACAAACGAACTCAACCTGTTTCTCGAATACAACGATCTGCACCCTAATTTTCACTGTAGTCGATGATTTCTTAGCTATCGTCGGACGTCAGAAGTCGGTTACTGGAAGGCGAACAGGACTGGACCAACCGGACTGCAAGCGGTGTTTTTCCTTTCAGGAAAAGAGGCTCAATAAAAAGATTAAGGGAGGAAGGGACAGAGCCATGTGCAGGGGAAGGGACTCAGTCACGAGAGCTCCTCCCCGACCCCTGGCTCGCACAATAATTATCACGCCTTATAGTATAAAGCCATATTATGCCTTATAGTATGAACCGTGGAGGAGAATGGCCCCTTCCAATTCAAGTTTTCACCTCCATAACTCACATTCACCCTCACGCTCACGCATGAAGTCCGAAGTTGGAATGCTCGCTTTTCATGCGTCATCTGCCATGCTATATACAGAGGTCCGGTGGATTTGAGCGGCAAGATCAGTCTCTATCGCGACGATAAGATTTCCTAGTTATATTTTCCCTTGTAAATGTACTCGGCGACGGTTGGAGGTATCCTAAGTTCTGTCAGGCTGGAAAATCTGTTGTCGAGTTGAGGGAGTTGTACGTTGTGGATTAATGAAGGAGGAGCACTTGATTGAGTCTGAGTGGTTCGTTCGCCAAACCCACGATGCACGGATAGAGAAATAAGAGTAAAATTGTTTGGAGAAAGTTTGCGTGCCTTTGCGCTTGGGAGGGACACCATGAAGAGAATTTCCGCTTCCAGCTTCGCTCTTACGACATCTCTTGCGAGAAAACGTAGAGAATACCGATATTCCAAGCTCCTCTGAGAATGTGAGTGAAAATCGGAGTTGAGATGAGAATATCGCCCATGACTTTTACACAATTTCACCTTTTCCAAGATATTCGAACGCACAGAAGGGAAGCGAGCGAGTTATTTTGGAGTTGAAAGCATGCAGTGACGCTTGATCGAAACCTCAAGCGGTGCCGGTGTTTTCCACGTCCATTCTGCACTCCCTCGGAGACACTCTCTCACAGTGAGTGAGAGAGTGTCTTCTGTGTCACCTGTCTCCTCCGGTTTTCCCTGCCGAAGAGGACTCAATTGGAAGCTGAACGGAAAATCCCTCATGCGACCTCTGGAAACGCTTGTGTGGATACATGAGGGAAGGCATCTCTTGAGCCCCTCACGAAGTCCGTTATCAGTTAATCAGTTAAACTGGGGAACTTATTTCCTGAATTTCATCCATTTCGTTTCCACGTTCCTGAATTTGGCAGTTACTAGGTAAATTATCTTGCAACACTTCGATCACTCATTAGCGTCAATTGTATGGATGAGCGACGTGTAGAGCGGCGATATACGGTAATACGTGGAGACAGAGCCTCGTAATGGGGAGTTGCGAGCAACGTA